AATAAAAGATCTATGATTTATGAAGAATTTAATCATATAATAAATATTCTAAAAAAATTGAGAATATATATATTATCTTTATTAATTTTTAGGTAATCAAATACAAAAATAAACTAAATTAATTAAAGTTAGTTGCTACTAATAAACTATTTAGAAGATACTTATTTTTGATTATTTTTAAAGTTAAAAATCAATCTGTAAAATCTACTAAAGTTTTTTTATTATTCTATATAGCAAGTATATAAGAAGATAGTCAAAGTGTTAATCCTTATAATTCTCTTTTCAATTTTTAAAGAGCATCAACAAATACTAAAGAAATATTTAGCAGAAAATATTAAAGATTATATTGATAATATGAGTTATAATATATAGATATTCATATTTATAAAGTAATATATTTATCAAATCCATTATAAATTATATAAACTTATAAATTTTTATTAATTATTTTTATTTAATAATTTTAAATAAGAGTAAAATACTATAGTAAATGTATAACTATACTTTTGCTATTTAAAATACTATTTTTTTAATATTTAATAAAGAGAAGTTAGTAAGAATTAATAATAATATATCTGTTATCTGTCTTGCTAAATGAAAGAGAAATAAAAAAATTCAAATTATATATAAAAATCTTTTTTATAATGATAAATTACTTACAAATATTAGTTATATGATATTTAAAGAATATAAAGAGAAAATATTACTAATAATATACTGCATATTTATTCTAACTGTCTAATATTCTTCTCAGTTTATCAAGTTCAGAAATCAAATACAAAGATAGATTAGTAGTAAGATATATATATATATATTTATAATAAGTAATACTTTAAATTTGCTTAAAGTTTATATTAAAAATTATTTATATATTAGATATTTAGTGAGCTGTGAAAAATAATCAATTAATAATACCAGAAATAATAATAGAAATAGTAGAAAAAGAAATTAAAAAGATTGAGCAAGTGGCAAAAAAAATATCAAAAGTTATGAGCTGAGAATATAATTAAAAAAGATGATAATAATGAGAAAGATGATAATTATAATAATTTTGTATGTTTTTTTAATACTCTTTATAAATTTAAAAAAATTTTTTATTGCATATTTATTTAATAAATACCAGTTAAAAAAAGGCTAAAAAAGGTTTTATTTTGATGAATTTTATAATAAATCATAGTAAAAATCCATTTTTACTATATTTACTATAATTTTTTATAAAATTTATCAAAATAAAGTCTTTTTTTAACTGATATTTATTAAATAAATATGCAATAAAATTTTTTTTTAAAATATTTTCAAAATTACTTATTGAAAATATTTTCAAATAATTTTTTTTAAAGTTATTTCATGTAAACACCTAATTCATCACATTTAACACAATATTTTGCAAAATTTTATTAAGCTAATATACATTATGCTATTAGAGAATCTTGTTCACAATATTCTAAAGAATATATTTACAAATTTTCGTGAGTTTTGGATGTTTTATTATTAAAATATAGAAAAAAAATGTTCATGCCATTACTTTTGACCAGTACTATATATACTATATAATAAAATAAATATCTTTATTATTATTTAATCTATAAATTTTACTATTACTTGAAATTACTATTGCTACTTGAAATTAATATTGCAAAGTTTTGTGTAGAATTTTAAAAAATCAATGCAAATTTATATTTTATTACAGATCTGTACAGATTTTTTAATTTTTTTTTCTTTACTAATTGTTATCAGATTTAAAGTTTTATACAAATTTTTGAATTTAAAAATCTGTATAAAACTATACTCTCAAAAATTTTCTGATAAATATAAAGAATGTAAATAATAAATAATATATTAAAATTTAAATAATATAGAAAATATAAATTATATTAAAATATTACTTAAATCAAAATAAATTATTTTAAATAAAGAAAAATTATTTATTTCTTATTACTAACTTAAGAAAATTATTATTATTACTTTTAATTTTAGATAAATAATATATATTTATAATAATTCAAATATATTAAATTATAATATTTTATATTACTTTACTTTTTTTAATATATTTTTTTCTTATTCTAATTTAAAAAAAATATAATACTAAAACAAAATAATATATTAATAAACTTGAAATATTATTAAGAAACTTTAAATATAAATAAAAAGATTTAAAATATAATATTTGAATTATTAAATATCTAATTTAATAAAATTAATAATTATAATTTAGTATATGTTGAATAAAAGATAAGAAAATATATTTTGATAATAATGAAATTATAAAATAAAATATTATAATTAATATATTATATAACAGATTAAAAAATAAAAAATTTATATATATGAATTATAAAATTATATAAATTAATATATAATAATACTATATAATTAATAAGAAAGTATATTAATAAAAAATAATTTTAGATTCTAAAATGTTTACTGAAAAGTTTTAAATATATAAAGCTAATATATTTAATATAAAATTTATATATGAAAAATAATAGTAATAATAATAATAAATATAAATTTACTTTAAAATCTCTAAATTTATTAAAAAAAAATAATTTATAATTTTAAATAATAAATTAAATTTTTATTTAATTCAAAATCAAGAATTTTTTAAAATAAATAAATAATCTTCTTATTTAAAGCTCAAATAAAGATTTATAATAAGTATAACTTATTTAAATCAATAATTTAATAGTAATATTATTATATAAATATAATTATTATATAAAAATCAAATATCTTTTTCACAAAGCTCTTAAATTATAAGTTACTAAATATTTATATATATATAAATATAAATAATTTTATAAAATTTATTAAGAATAAGATAATTATCATATACTTAATATATATAAATAGTTATATATACTTAACTAGAAAATAAAAATATTTATTTTAATAATTATAAATAAAAAGATATACTAGCTAATAAATAATAATTTTTATAATAATATATAAAATTATAAAAATAAATAGTTACTTATAAAGATAAAAATTTAGTCTAGATTATTTAATCTTTATATATAATATTTTTGTAATTATTTTTATTATTTATAATAAATAATTTTTTATATTAATAATAATATTATTAAGATTTGGAATTTAATATATAAGTATTAATTTTTTAGTAAATTATAAGATTATAATAATTATATAAATAAGATTTTTTGTAAATTTATTAAATAAGTTTAGTTTTAAGAGAGAAATACATTATTAATAATTATTTTCTAATAGAAAATAGCTTATATATACTGAAATTTATATTATAATATATTTCAATTCAAATTATAATAACTGATAAATAAATAAAGATATTATTAAACAGATAAAAAATAAGTTATTTTAATATTCAAATATACTTACTCAGAAAAATTTATATTATTTATATTTAATAATAGTAATAATTATAATATATTAATTAATAATATATTAATAACTTCAAGAATAAATATAAAAGATATTGAAAAATATTTATTTTTTTATATTAATAAAATACTTGATGACTTATTTTATATTATAATATTTATAAATAATAATAATATAATAAAATTTAAAAATATTTAATAAGTTCTTGAGAAATATGATTTGTTAATACTGAATTTAAAAAAAATATAATATATAAATATAATATAATTATAATTTAATTAAACTAAATAATTATATAATATATATTTTTTCTATTTAATCTGATTTTTCATCACAAAAAATGTATTTATAAGAGAAAAGTTATAAATAATTGATTTAATTTTGGAATAATTTTAATTATTCACAATTTAATATTAATATATTATATATTATATATCAAATTATATATAAATATTATTATCAAATCTTTAAATATTATATAATATATATATAATAAATAATATGAATAATTTTTATTTTTATTTTTAATTTAATAATTAATATATATATTGATATATTTTATATAAAATATAAATTAATTAATATAAAGATAATAAATAGAATAGTTTTTCAAAGATTTATCACTTTTTTTCAGACTTTACCTAAAAATAATAAATAATTAATAAGAAATCTTTTATTATTTATAATTTTATTATTAGTTTCATAAAAAATAAAGAAAATTAGAAATTTTAAATAAAAATATTAAGATATGACATGATAATTAGAACTTTTATTTCTTTCTAAAGATCTTTTTATTTTCTATTCAAAGTTTATTATTATTATAGCAATATAAATTTCTTTAATTTAATAATTTTTTTTGATTATCTGAAATTTTATTTTTATTATTTTCTCTAATTTATTATATAATTTATATTATCTGATTATATTTTTATCATTTATTTTATATTTATTCTCTAAATATCATATTTATTCTTTTTTCTTATTTTTATTCTTATTTTTAATTTGAGATTTACTTTTTTATTATTTTAATATTAATATTTCACATATATAATTATCTTTAGTAATATTTCAAAGATTAATTAGTTAATATATTTATATATATATTTTTAATATGAGATTACAATATGTATATTAGATAGTATTAGTTAGTAATACTATAATAATAGTTTTTTATTTGAAAACGTATATAAAAGAATCTGCTCTCTCAAATTGAAATAAATAATTTTGGATTGAATTGTTTGAAAAATATAATTATGAAGCTTATTATCATAATAATAGTTATCTTTTAATTCCTTTTTTAATTATACTACTATCTTTTCTCTCACTCAGTTTTATTTCTTTGATTATATAAAGTTGATTTTGAACTTTTATTATAACATTTTATTGATTTTGATTTTGATTTTTGACCTTGATATTGATTTGATATTTTTGATTTTTATATCTTTATGCTTTTGGTTTGAATATTTTGATTTATACTTTGATTTGTATTAGTTATACTACTTTTAGTTTAGTTTTCTCTGATTAATAGTGGCTTCACTTATTAATAATTATAAATCTTTTGACTTATTTTATATTACTTTTAGTTTAGTTTTCTCTGATTAAATTTTAATAAGTTTAATTGCCCTTCTCCCAACTCTTTATACTTTATAGAGTTTCTCAGTGAAACCCATTACCCAGAATCGCTGTAACATTATCCCCCTAGCAAACGAAATACTATTAATGACTATACTAGATACATTCAACTTGATTGGCATAGTAAATATACTTCGATGGGCTTCAGCCCTAGATTTGTAAATTTTCCCTGTAGGAGATAGCAGCTTCTGGCCGCTAGGTTCTGCAGAGAGTTTTTGAGCTTCTTGAGAAAGGTATTTTATGAAAGATTTAAATTTTGCAGATGACGGATTTTGTTTGAAATGGACATTATTTGGAAGTTGATCGAGATTGTCTTGCAAGTGACGGTCGCTCACTTCCTTCCATACTTTGCCCAAAGTAGATAAATTATTAACGAGGGAACTTTTCTCATTCAGGACTTTATCACAGGTTTCATGGGCAATGGAGGAAATCTCCGATTTTGCAAGTTGCCAAATGATTTCATTCATCTAACAATTTGAAGATATCTTTACTAAAAATTTAAATAAGAACATTGAGACAAGACATGAAAATCACCTCGTTTTCATCCATTTCTGAATGTCTTCCTTTTGTCTTTAAATATCCAGAAATTAAGCCCGATGCAAATGAAGAAATATTAACGATTCTATTATATTTATTCAAAATAGTTATCATAGGAAATCCACTTCGATGGGCTTTAGCCCTAGATATGTAAATTTTCCCTAAAAGGGATAGCAAGTTCTGACCGTTAGGTTCTGCAGAGAGTTTTTGAGCTTCTTGAGAAAGGTTTTTTTTGAATGATTCAAATTCTGCATGGTCCTCATTTGGAAATTGTTGGAGCTTGTATTGCAGATGACGGACAATTTGAGATACACGAGTAGTGTGACGGCGTTCTTTTTGCTCGGCTGAGTTCATCGTTTCCCATTCAGATGAGCACCCATCTTTCACCATTACGGAAGCAAGCCAGTGGCCAATTTCAAGATTGCCAATATAAGGGAGCCAGAAGTCTCCTCCCACGTGGACATTGAATGATGCTTTATCCGCTATATTTAAATTAATTAAGTTGGAAACTGTTAAAATTACAACAAGAAGTTAAAAAATATTTAATACATACAATCATGAATAGTTCCATAATTATTATAAAGAGCACGTTTATCCTCATCCGAAAGGATTTTGTATGCCTTTGAAATCTTGTTCCACTAGATTATGGATGTTGAATTAGTAGGTGAATTAAATTAAATGAAATACATCTCAGATAATGGCACCTCTTCGGTTTCAATACCACCATTCTTATCAGGATGGTGTTTCAAGGCGAGTTTCTTGTAGTTTGACTTGATTTCAGTTTTGGTCGCATTGGGTTCTAACTGGAGTACAGTATATAAACTCGTTTCTTTTGGCATACCGCCAGCTGTTAGAATAAATAATGAAGATGAGCGCGTATAATAAGCATGATTTTTATTGGTTATTTCTTACCGTTAAAAGGTTCAGTTTCCACTGCTTCCGGCTTATTTAACCATGTTTTTAGTATCGCCTGTTTACGTATATTATATTCATTCTCATCAATCTCACAATTCGTTAATTGACGTTCGTTCTCTTGTAGTTCTGCTATGAGATTCATTTCTCTCAAATAAAAATTTTTCAATAATTTTATATTAGTTTCCTAAAAAGTACGTGTCTTTATTTTAATTTTCTCTGCGGTATTAACTGCCACTAGTAGAATAGAGAGCACATTTATATGTAAGCATGGAAGGCGTGTGACATTCTTTACCATTTTAATTCTCTTAAGTAATAATAGGGTATAAATAATAATATCAATATTTAATGTATTATAAAGAAACATAATGACATAAAAATTCTGCAAATAATAATAATAATAATGACCATGCAAAAAAAGTAAATTTAACAATTAGCATCGTGACTTTTGTAAAAAACCATAATAACATAAAAATTCTGTAAAATAATAATGAATTGTAAATTTTAACAATTAGCGACGCGATTCTTTTGTCTAGTATAGTTGCTGCTCTTTTAATTTTTTTCGTTATTACCCTATTTTGTATATGAACATCGACGCGACCGACGTAGCACTAAATTACCTTTTATAAACAAAACATGTACATGTACATATATATACATGTATGTGTTGATGTCGAAATTTAACGCAAACATTCAAAGTTTCTGAAAAAATTTGCTTTGCACCGTCATTTAGATTCCTCCATCTCGGTTTGTGTTTTTAAGACATAGAATATTCTATTAACATTTCACAATTACATTATCTAATCCTGGAATTTTAGTACAGAAGTTATGAGTTCCCTTAAACAAAAACTCGATGAGCTCTACCAATGCAGGGATTATTTGACTGTAGAAGAATACACAAAAACCAAACAAGCAATATTGGACCAATTTATTGGAGGTATATTTTATTTGGCACTTTGTTCTGTGCATGCCATGAATAACTATCATATGACTTTGACATTCTTCATTTTGGCACATTACAACACTTAAAAACATCATTGAGTAACTTCATTCACATTTTAACTTTATTTGATATTAATAATATATTTAATTAATTCATTATTCAATCTTTATTTAGAACTTAACACTGGTGACCACCAGAATAACAACAATGATGGACATGGCAATGACCCTGGCAACGACTGCCGTGATAATGGTAATAACCGGAGTGATAACGTTTATGAAAAAAATCTCTTACAAAGATTACATGAAGCAGGTTGCCATATTCGTAATTTCTTACTCCAGAGAGTGGTTCATACTTACCTTGTCATCGTGAACGGTTTCATCAAAAATGAATAAATAACTTTTATAGTGCAAAAATTTTTGATATCAAATTTATTGACGTTTAATATTTATTATCATTAATATCTTATAAATATCTGAACCATTCATAATAAATCTTAAATATTGAATAAAAATGGCACAACGATTTATTTATCGTTATCATTACTTAATAATTGTATTATGTACATGTAATGGGCCTGATACAATCGAATGGTCGTCCACTTGTTTACAATCTCGTACATTACCATCCCAAAGCTATAAATAATCTGCAGTGTTAGTGATTTCCATTTAACACCTTGAACTCATATAAGGAAGTATTCCGCAAATTTCTTTGTTAGATTTTTCTATATTTCACAATTGGCAATTTAAGCTTTGAGAGTCATTATTAGAATATTTCCGGGATGAAGTCACGATATACAAACTTTTCTTTGTGAATTTTTGTTAAGCTTATTGATTATATTATACAAACTTCTTTTCAATTTTTCGTAGTTGGAATGGAGCAAACAAGATTACATGATTATGTGTATCGCAGTATGAACATCACTTTACTAAGCACACTTGTATTAAATTTATCTATCATATACGTATATAACGATAATATATCCCATATAAACCACCCTCCTTCGAACACTTAATCAAGCAACACCATGGTAGAATGCAACAGACTCAAGGTGGTTTATGCACGAATCACGGCATTTAGCAAATTTATACGATAGCAAAATTTTTAAATATTTGCGCAAATATCAATATCGATACATATTAATATATAGTACGCTATTTCTAGACAAAGTCAATTTTCCAGTTTAAAAATTTTCGTAATAGATAAATTACAGGGAATGATTAATCTAGCATTATTAAATAATTGGACTGTACAGAACTAAATATCGAAGTCGAATTTATAATAACCGACACAAAGTCGTTCTAATTTAAAATTTCATCTTTCATATTTTATTCTCATCATCAATATCAAATATGACAAGTGAACCAACGTTGGATTATGTACGTGAGAAATTCAATCAGGCATTGATAACGATAAATTGTTGTATTTAATTTACTTATTTATTCAAAGAGAAAAAGTTCCGAGACAACACTTGGGTATTTTTAGACTGAGAATCAAATAATAATTGTAACTTACTTACATCAAAGAAACACACTTAACATGTTGTTCAATTTTCCAATATAAAGAATCATCAAAATTCTACCATGCAATAAATGCGTCTTTTGCCAAGGATTTTCTTGGCCACGGATCGAAGTTCATATATAAAACATTCGAGAAATATCCAATATCATGTTTAACGCAGTTTCACCCGGAACATAGATGTCGTCTGGCTTTTGAAAGTTCATCCAGAACATGAAGGACTTACTGAACTGAAATTCACTACAGAAGTTATCGAATAGGCACAATGAGAATCCATTAACCCAGCAATAAGCGTATTTTATAATCAATCAATAATTGTTTCTATTTTCATTTATTTTTCGATATAGGTTAAAAACACCACTTCTGGCTTTAAAGTTTACAACAAATTCGAAACTTACGATACAAGTGATGCACTATTCATAGACTTGGCTAGTAAATATCGTCGTTGGTTTAACCTGACACTTCCGTTTAAAATGAAGATTCCGGAGAAACGACTGATTGGTGACAAGTTTGCTTTGAAGATTTTCGATCATTCTGGATTCGGAGAAGTGGTTTGGTGAGCTTTATTTTTACTTGTAAAAATAGCTGCAATGCATTATTTATTATCTTGATTCTTTTCGGTTAACTGTGTGGATCGTTTATATTACATAGCATCTTGATAACGCATGTCTTCGACCTTACTAATTGTACGGAATGCCACAAAAAGTAACGCCCGATTTGCCATGTGTAACAACATGGACAAATATATACGTCGCGTTTTCCCATTTTTGTTATTGTTGACCCTGATTTTTTCATTATTTTCTTCTTTACTTTTAATATACACTAGGCGAAATTTTGTTAGCTGTAAATATTAAACCTATCATAAGGATAAAGTAGTGATTTTTATTGAAGTTTATGAATGCCAAGCAAGCTGCAAGAAAATGTGCCATAATAATATAATGTCTCTTGCCAAGTACAAAAGAACAGGGAAAATGAAAATTTATCATCATCTGGGAAACCATAAGCTCTTAATAATCAAGAAAAAAATACACCTATACAAAAGCTAAAAAGACATCTCGAGGCATTTCACAACATTTGTAATACTGAAAATTCTCTAAGGTAATTTTTTCCTTTCTCATAATATAATTTGTTCATTAATTTGAGAGAACATGGTTTTTCAAAAAAATAACCTTGATCTACAATTTGAAATAGAATCAAATAGAGAAAATCAATGATTATTGTGTTGTTTCGACTCTACCTTATAGAAATTTCTGAAGTCATTGAAGAAAAATATTCAAAAGTGCAAAATAATCCCAAGGATCGTGAAAATGTACAAGCCTACTCAGAAAGAAACATGATCAAAATTCGATGTGTTAGTTTTTAAGGAGATTGTAGGCTCAAACCTTGAGAAATCAAAGCGATATTAGAGCATATAAAGAGCTAATAATATATTAACTAGTGGCAAAAAAATATTTTTATATGGTGGAGGAAATCTTAACTCGCCAATCACGTGAATTTGTTTCTATTTTGTGTATGCAATGTAATATAGCATATTATATAATGCAGCCAATGACATAGCAGGCATTGAGTAATGATATGTGACATAACATGTCATATAATGCAATCAATAATGTAGCAAATGCGTATAATTTTTATTATTTCTTAAAAGTTAGCATAAATGCCAATTAAGCGGGTATTTCTTAAAACGATTAGGCATACTTAATTTTTTTAGGGGCTTAGACCTAATATTAAACCAATAAAAATTATTCACGTGTGGTGTATTATTGTAATTGACCAATAAAACAAGTTTCACGTGATATAAAATCACATGATATGTTTCAATTTTGACCAAACCATATAACGAGTACCCGATTTAAAATGCTTATAACTTTTTATTTAAAACTTAAATTAAAATTCTGACCAGTAGTTCAATAGTACATAAGCAATATTATTACCGGTTTGTTTTTTTAAAATTCGATTTATTAAAGGCTCTAATAGTCCTTAAATATCATGTAATTTATTGGCGAGTTAAGATTTCCCGCACCATATACAAGACAAAAATAAAATAAGTCAGGTATATATCTGAAATTCATTTTAAAAATAAATCGGATGTTACTTTTTTGTGACGACTGTACATGTATATATAATACTGAAATACATATTAAATAACTGAATAGGTTTGATTTCTTTTTTTCAACGATTAATATACGTATTGGATGATATGGACATGTCATCATTATTAAGCAATAAATTTATTTCACGAAAGTTTGTATGAGTCGTACATTGATATATATAAAAATAATTAACAAAATGTTTCTAGTAAAAGAAGTGGTTTTCTTTTTCGAAGGTTCGCCCGTTTCCTTCCAGACTTTGCCCAAAGAAGATAAATTATTAGTGAGGGAACTTTTCTTATTCAGGACTTTGTCACAGGTTTCATGGGCAATGGAGGAAATTTCTGATTTCGCAAGTTGCCAAATGATTTCATTCGTCTGACAATTTGAAGATATCTTTACTAAAAATTTAAATAAGATCATTGGAACATAACATGATAATCACCTCGTTTTCATCCATTTCTGAATGTCTTCCTTTTGTCTTTAAATATCCAGAAATTAAGCCCGATGCAAACGAATAAATATTAACGATTCTACTATATCCATTCAAAATAGTTGTCATAGGAAATCCTCTTCGATGGGCTTCAGCTCTACTTATGTAAATTTTCCCTAAAAGAGATAGCAAGTTCTGGCCGTTAGGTTCGGTAGAAAGGTTTTGAGCTTCTTGAAAAAGATTCATTTTGAATGATTCAAATTCTATATGGTTATTCTTTGGAAATTGGTTGAGCTTGTCTTCCAGGTGACAGACAATACGGGATACACGAGTAGTGTGACGGCGTTCTTTTTGCTCGGCTGAGTTCATCATTTCCCATTCAGATGAGCACCCATCTTTCACCACTACGGAAGCAAGCCAATGGCCAATTTCAAGATTGCCAATATAAGGGAGCCAGAAGTCTCCTCCCACGTGGACATTGAATGATGCTTTATCCACTATATTTAAATTAATTAAATTGGAAACTATTAAAATTACAACAAGAAGTTAAAAAAATATTTAACACATACAATCATGAATAGTTCCATAATTATTATAAAGAGCACGTTTATCCTCATCCGAAAGGATTTTGTATGCCTTTGAAATCTTGTTCCACTAGATTATGGATGTTGAATTAGTAGGTGAATTAAATTAAATGAAATACATCTCAGATAATGGCACCTCTTCGGTTTCAATACCACCATTCTTATCAGGATGGTGTTTCAAGGCGAGTTTCTTGTAGTTTGACTTGATTTCAGTTTTGGTCGCATTGGGTTCTAACTGGAGTACAGTATATAAACTCGTTTCTTTTGGCATACCGCCAGCTGTTAGAATAAATAATGAAGATGAGCGCGTATAATAAGCATGATTTTTATTGGTTATTTCTTACCGTTAAAAGGTTCAGTTTCCACTGCTTCCGGTTTATTTATCCATGTTTTTAGTATCGTCTGTTTACGTCTATTATATTCATTCTCATCAATTTCACCATTCGTCCATCGACGTTCGTTCTCTTGTAATTCTGCTTTGGGGTCCATTTTCTAATAAAAAAATTTTTATATAATACGTATCTTTTATTTTCAATTCTCTTTGCGGTATTAACTACCACTAGTAGAATAGAAAGCACACATTTATATGTAAACATGGATGCGTGTGACATGTGACACGTTCTTAGTTCATCTTGATACCATAAATTTCGTTGTCACTTTAGGGAGTCATTAATAATGTCGTTATAAAGTTAAACAGTGTTGATTTGTAAGATTAAAATTACCATTTTGATTCTCTTTAACGTAATGGGATCAAATGTTTGAACATTCTCTTCTTATTAGCTGACATCAGGAGAATAGAAAGCACTATAATATGACTGTATCTGAAATCAAATGAATCTCTACGTGGAGCAATTAGTAAATAATAATATCGATATTTAACGTATTGTGTATTAACTGCCTTTAGGAGAATAGAAAGAACTTTAATAATAAGACATGAAAATCTGTAAATAATAATGAACTATGCAAAAAAAAGTTTAACAAATAGCGTCGTCGTTTTGTCTTAGTGTAAAAAAATCATAATAATATAAAAATAATAATGAATCATGCAAAAACAAACGCAATTTTTAACAATTACGGTTATGATGATTTTTGATTTATGCAAAAAAAAAAAATAGGTATTGTTCTTTTCCATTTAATTTTTCTCGTTATTACCTTATTTTGTACTTATCTAAATTCTGTATATGATTATTGACGCGACGACATAGCACTAAATTACCATTTAACATTAAAAGAGGAACATGTATACATGTACATATATATACAAGTATGTATCGATGTCGAAATTTAACGCAAAGATTCAAGTCTGAGAAACAAGGAATTTGCTTTACGTCGTCAATAAATTCTTCCGTCTCGGTTTGTATTTTGCTTGTTTAGACATTGAATGTTTTATCAGCATTTCGCAAGTACATTATCTAATCCTGGAACTTTTATTTAGCAAAAGACAAATAAAAATATAAAAGTTATGGAAAGACTCTCTCCTCGACAGAAACTCAATCAGCTCGTAGAAATTAGATGCCATTTGAATGACGAAGAATACAGAAACATTAGAGAACATATCTTAACCCAATCTTTTGGAGGTAGATTTTATTTGGTACTCTGTTCTGTATATATGTTAAATATTATTATATGACTTTGAAATTCTTCTCTTTGTCACATTTACAATGATCAATCAACTTCATGAATGACTACAATAAAAAGATTATAAAAAAAAAAAAAATCTTTCTGGGATAGAATTTGGAGCGGTGGTGATTTCGTCATCCAGAAACTGGCTATGCCTATCGTTCACCACGTTGGCGCGTACTTATTGCACGATCTGATCAGAGGTTTACTCAAGTAGCTCCTTATAGATGACTCTTTTTTAGGTTTAAATTTTTTGATATCAACAAATTTATGAGAGGGTATTCAAAGTTGAGTGAAGTTTAATATTTCGTTCTTTATATTAATAAGTCTTGTGACAATGTCCGAGTTGCCGTAATAAATTTTAACTATTGAATAACATGTCACAATTTTTTATTTATCGTTTTATGAAGTTCATATACATGCAACGAGCCTGATACGACTAAATTCCGAAATCTGAAATCCCGAAAACACAAAAATCCTTTTTTTAATTAGATTTTTCTATGTTATATACTATCTAACGAGTTGGCGCCTAATTATATTAAATTGATAATATTTCTCATAAACCTATAATATAGAATTAAAAATCGTGATTTCGTCATTCGGATTATATGGCACCGAAATAGTTGAACCACATATATTGCAAAAATCACAAATATGCAAACTAGGAACATTTGTTCTTTGTGTATTATTATTTTTAATATCAACTATCGCTATCAACATAATCAGCTCGATGTTTATTACTGACTAACGAATAAATGACCATGAGAACTTATTAGTATAAAATATCATTCACATAATAAACATGTCATTTTTTTGGATAAGCGTAATCATCTTTGGTTAAGATAGTTCTCTGTAATTTTTTGTTAAACCTTAGTATCTGAATGTTACCAATTTTTTTCTTGCAAAAATCAATTATTTTTGCGTATGTCTTTAAGATGTAAATAATACGTTTGGAAAAAGAAATTCTGCGCCTTTTTATTACGGTGGTGAATCTGGGAAGTTGGATTAACAAGCCTATACTCAAAATATGCTTTCTTAATATAAATACTTTCTTCCACTTACCCCATTCAAAGCCTCTAAGATTCTGTACTGGTGGTCTCAACTTTATTAAAGGATTTTAGCGAGATCGATGAATGTAATGTTCGAACATAAGGCTCTTGTTATAGAAGCAGTAGCTATTGAGGCAGAAAAAAAATTATTCTTATTTAATCAAATGCCAAATTTGTGCTCATATTAAGATTTAAATCTAACAAAGTTACAGTTTACAATTTTTTCTTTACAAACGGATTTCTTCATTGTAATAATATTTGAATCTATTTTATTTTTATTTTATTCATGTTCTATTCACACACTTCATCTGTGCTACAAATCCAGCATATATTATGTTGACGTAAAGACTCGTTTTTATTGAAATAAAAAATTATCATATCCTAATTAATACAATGTTAAAAATTGTCACATCTATAAAGAAAGTCTTTGATTGAGTTTACATGGAATCATAAAGAAGTTCATAACTGTGGGATGTTTATGATTCTTACGAACTACCGATGAGAATAGTTTTATGTAAACATGATCATAAATTTTGAAAATTTTCTTATAGCAAAATCATAAATATGATTTAACAATAAAATTATAACATTATTCTGTTTTCTGCAACGCTTATGACAGTATTCTTGAGGAAAAATGTCGTCGCCTTAATAACGTGCTGGTGTCAGATCTCATCCATCTTCATGCATTAAATGTGTTTTCACGCTCAATTCTAAAGTTAGGTTGACTAAGGAATTGAAATGTAACAAGGTTTGCAAGCTAGACTTATAATTTACGCATCAATAAGGCTCCTGTGCCGATCTTTCAATCAAACGTAAGGTAGAACACAAATAAAGGTTAATTCAAATTTACTATATAATTAAGGAACAAATAACAAAAATAAGTTTAATTAAACACAATAATATTGGCAAAAGGAGTAAATTTTCAATTTTGTTCAGCACAAAAGAAAAAAAATGAGGAGTTGTTCAGGTAAGAGTTAAAAATAGTTTCATTAATTAATTTTCTTCAAATCACACATTATCTGTCTCTTTCTAATATGATCCTATATATATTATATATACACTTTCCAGTTAAAAGTATCTGATCATCTAATTTATGATTATCAATTATTATCTAATAAAATAAGATTTACACCAAAACTATTAAATATAAATAAATAAAGATTTTTTCTCATACAACTCTTGTCTTCAGTTATTAAAAGATTTTTTCCAAAAGATATAAACTTATTGAGTTTGAATGAGAAGAGATTATATAGTGTCTATCAAAAGTATTTCTTCCTGTAATTTTCAAATATTCACATGCATGATACTATAATTTTATATACTATAATATAGTTTAAATATAAATTATATATATATTTTTAGAGATTATATATTAATAAAAACAAAAGCTTCGTAATATTCATAAAATAATCTAAAAAATACCTTTAAATTTAAGTTATAAATATGAAATGGTCTTTTTATATACTTATCCAAAAGATTTCAAGCTGTTAATATATAAGATAACTAAAGTAATTTGTAATAATAAAAAAATAATTTATTATTAAATCAAAAAATAAGAAGAAAATCAAGACTTGAATATTAAATTAAAAACAAATTAACAAAAAATTATTATTTAATAATAAGACAAGTAAATAGTAAAGCTTACAAAAAAAATTAATATAATAGCTTCAAAAATTTAAAAGAAGATAATTAAGCAGAATATTAATATTAATTTATATATTGTTATAATATAGATTTTTATATATATTTTATTAATATTAGTTATTTTATACTCGCATTTTTATTGAATAATTATTTAATTATATTTTATTAGATAATAATTAAGATAGTATTATTGGTAAATATTTTTAAATAGTTTTACAAGCATAATATTCATAATGAAATTATCATAGCAAAGTTAGCAAAACTATCATAGCAAAACTAATAATACTATCATAACAAAACTAATATTATGATACTAGCAAAAGTAGCATTTAGATCATAACAAAAGTATTATTTGTAAAATCTCTAAAATATATAAAAGTAATATATCTTAGTTAGAAAACAAAAAGTTAATTAATAAAGTTAATAAATAAAATAACTTAATAAATAAATAAAATGAATAAATTAATAAATTAAATAATAATATGGTCCGGTGCAAAGTGATTCGTACCTCAGAAAAAATTTAATAAAATTTTTTTTTACATATTACTTTTTATTTTTTTTTAACAAAAAAAACCAATAGGTATTCGGATTTATTACATTAAAAAATTATGTCAAAATTCATCATCATCACCAAGATCATCATCATCATCCGTTTCATTATCCAATAAAATCACATCATCATCTAACTCCCAATATTCTTTTGCTTTTGTCAATGCTCTTTTCCAAAATCCAACTATTACTTTTGATGTTATTTTTTCTTCAAAAGCATGCAAAAGCTTATTCCTAATATCTAAAAGGTTTGAATATGGACCTGACTTTGCTATCTCATCTTTTACTACGGCCCAAACACCCTCAATTAGCTGAAGTTCACAATGATAAGGAGGAGTAAAAAAAACTTGATAACTATATTGCTTGGCTATTTTAACACACGTAAATGGAACCTTTTCCTTGTTCTTCTTAACAAGTTCTAAAAGCTCAGGTCTACGTAGTCCATCAGAGAAAGAAATTTGATGAGCAATTAACCAGTCAGTTATTTCTTTTTTCTTGATGGCTGAGGTTGGAAGAGTTTCTATTCATCACTTGTGATAACGTGCACCATCCATATGAATGTTTGCTAGGCCATATGTTTTATTTATTGTTTCACAAAGTTTCATAAAAAGGTCTTCAAAAATATTGGCATTGAAGTTTCCATGATAGTCTACTTGGTTGGGAATAATATTAATATTTTTAACAACATCTGGAATATCATCCCATTCTTCGGCATTATTTCATCATCATCCTCGAGTTCCAGGAGGTTTTATTACTGGATCCCAAATGTGAACAGAATTTGAAACAAGTTTACCATGTAACTTGTTAGTACCACCATTTTGAAAAATGATAATTGCACCAAAGATTATCACTAATGGACCACGCCCTGGTATTAAAATAACGCCTTGTTGAGAAACCCACGTATTTTGTGATGTATGGTGTAAATGACAATATGACTTGTCGAGAAAGACTTCTGGAAGGTGTGGGACGTCATTATTATCTTTTAAGTTGGTGAAATGATAACGAATATAATGACAATGAAATATAACATTGTTTGGTGACTCATGAAGAATATTTCTTCATTCTCCTTTGCCGTAATAGTAGCCTAACTGGTGCAATATTCTGAGAAGTTGTCACTTGAAAAGTATATAGTCATGTTCAGAGAGGAACTACCATAAAAAAGGTGTGAATATTTGGTATCCGGTTCTATTACTATCAGTAATATATGTACGCAAAAGTGATGCAATGTTTTCATCTGGTTTTGATTTAGGAGATCCAAGATTTTGGTGTGCTGAAAATATATTATCGTTGCATCAGTTCCAGTCAGATAATACAGCCCCAACTGTACTTTCTGCAATACTCAAAACTAGAACAACTTGCTTGTATAATAATATGCTCTGGTTTTGCTTATCGGAGAAGGTAGTCCCAGAGAAGTACCGGTGAGTATTGATCACTATCCATTTTTCATTCTCAGTCAGTGGTGAATGACTTCGCCCTAGAGAAGAACTAGTCATTAAAATTCAATAAAATTTGCAAAAAAAAAGTCTATTTATGATCTTTATTCCATGTGAAAATGGAATTGTTTGGCTCACTACATAATATTTTGGTATTACAACTTTAACCACTCATATTGAGGTACGAATCACTCTGCACCGGACCATATCTTGTAAAAGGAGGTTTTGGAACAATTTATAAAGCAACCTGGTTGGATGGACCATTGGATTGTGTTGGTACATGCCCAAGTGGGATCATGAAGAAAATAAATTCAAACGTAAAGGAGAAGCAAAAGTTGTGTTGAAATTGTTACACATTTCAAAAAAAAATTACTTCAGAGTTTATAAACGAGGTAAGAATTAACATTTTCAAAAATGAAAGCCCGTTACTTTTTCTAAATATAAACTTTTCAAAATAGATTCGAGCTGGGCTTAGGTGCTATGATCTCGGCACCAGGATAGCATATTATGGAATGACTAAAAACCCGTTACAAACAAATACATGATAGCGATAGAACGCATGCATTCTATGGTGATCTTCACAAATATAAAGTGATGGAATCAAATACTCAACATTGTAATAAATGTACTAAGTGTAAAAGAAATAGATACTGCGATGACTGTTTAGTTCACAATACTCATAATTGTAGTAAATGTTGGAAATGTCAAAGAAATGAGAGATGTGATAACTGTTTCAAATATCACAAACGAATTTATAATGATGAATTATCTAGCGGAGATAAAGATATCTGACAATCTAATAAAAGAATGCAACAAATTTAATAAAAAATATAACTTATTCGAGTGGATTCCTTTTGAAAAGTTTTCCAACGTTGAATATCTTGCAAAAAGAAGCTCTGGATTAATTTATAAAGCAACTTGGTTGGATGGACCATTATTGGATAAACGACTAGCAATGTGGGATCATGACGAAAATAGATTTAAACGACGTAGAGAAACAAAAGTTGTGTTGAGATTATTACACAATTCAAAGCAAATTACTCCAGAGTCTATACACGAGGTAAAAATAAACATTTTTAAAAGTGAAAGGTTTGCTTCTTATTTCTAATACAATCAAATTTTTCAAAAATAGATTCAGACTGCTCTAAATGCATTGCTGCTGATTATCTTTATTTCAATCGTGATGACTTATTACCGGAATATCAAAACCAATATTGTAAATACGAAACTTTCTCCATAGATAAAGTTTTTAACTTATTAATAAATCTATTTTATTTTTATATTAAAATAAAGAGAATGATCTATACAGTTGAACCTTGATATAACGAAGGATCGAGCTGTTAGTCTCGAATTTTTCAAAATTCGTTATATTAAGGTTTTATTAATAGTTTCATTATATCAAAACTTATTTAATATAAAGGAACTGAAAATAAATTTCGCTATATCGCGATTTTACTGTGTGTATGTTATATCGAGGTTCAATTGTGGTTTCATTTATGTTCTTTTCAGATTCTTTGAACATTTTCTGCTCTAATTGCAAAGTCACCATAAATTTTTTTCTAATTATAATGTAAATTTAAAAAAAATTTATGGTGACTTTACAATTAGAGCAGAAAGTGTTCAAAGAATCTGAAAAGAACATATGTGAAACTAGATCATTGTCTTAATTTTGATATAAAAATAAAACAGATTTATTAATAGATAAAAAGCTTTTATATATAGAGGAAGTTTCGTATTTACTATATTTTACAATGTTTGATTTTGAAATTCCGGTAATTTATGTAGGGATGTGTGTCTTTAATCTGGCAAAAATTCATATCGATAGAGAAAAATTTGTGCATCGTGACTTTCTTAATAGTTATCCTCAAATTGCTAATTTTTTGCACGTAGCATTCCAACAAATATAGAAAATCTAAGCAAGAAATTTGTGGAGTATTTCCTTATATGAGTCCAGAGGTGTTAAATGGAAAGCTATACCCTAACGCTGCAGATATTTATAGCTTTGAAATGGTTGATTACGAGGTGAACAAACAACCATTTTGTGATCGTAGCCATGGAAAAGTTCTTGTATTAGAAATTTATAAAGGAGTACGACCTACGATACCAAATAATATTTCCGGATGATGCAAATTTATTATTGGAGAATGTTGGAATCCTATTCCAGAAAACAGACCAACTGCTAAGGATCTTTGGATGTTTATTGGCTCTATTTGCTATTCAGACAAAAATTAAAAAACAGGATACGTTACATCTTCAGTACTACAGCTCTTTAGAATATCCTAAAACAGATAAAGAGATTAAAAAGAGGGTGTTAAACTAGAAGGACAAAATTTAGTTGAGCTTGACAAGGAGATGAAACTACAAAAAAGTATTTTTACGAATAAAAACAAAAAATAAATTCACTCCAATGCAATTTACATCATTCGAATTTTTACTTCGAAATTAATATCAATTCCAACTTCTATAGGCGCGTATATTTGTATTTTATTTTATCTTAAATCTAAGAAAATTCACTAACTATTTTATTTTCTTACAACCATTCATTTTTCATAGTTAAATTAATATATTTTAAAAATAATACATTTTGAATATACATGTACATGTATTTCTGAAACTTTTGTATAAGAAACGAAAAACCATCTTGATTAGACTTTAGAAATTATTAATTTTACCTCGAATGTATATGTAATTTGCTTTGTGATAAATCTTTCGAAAGGTATTCAAATTTCACAGATTCTTATCAATACCCATATTTCCGTTAAATGATTCCGTTTATAAGGCTGATAATAATATTTAGGAGATTAATTTGAAAATATGTAATCATGAACATTGTGATTTGCACATTTAGACCGCACTTGTTTTATTGACAATACAGCAAGTATATTTATTTAAAGTCATTATGAAAAGTAAAAACACGCAAGGATTGCTAATATGTGTCTTAATATAGCATGAAAAATCATGTTGCATTCAGGAAATATTTCTGATACGGGGTTGACCAATTTCATGGTCATAAACCATTTTTCATATGATTTGATTATAAGTCATACGGAATTAAGAATTTATTTTATTTCAAAATTGAACTTTATTGGCTAAATGTTAATTATATAACTTTCTTAATATAATATTAATGATCTTATTTAAATAAATAAATTACATGCATTTTTTACAACTTGGCATCACCTCTTTCGAGTTTATGATACCAGTTCTCATCTAACTGCGTATAAATAAATTGTTCAGAATCCAAAATAAACAAGTTATCATGGCCACAAATTGTGCGATCAATGCCTTCTTTACGTAATTGGAATTTTTGATATTTATATGTGTTGGTAGTTGGCATTCTATATTGTTACACACATGTATATGTATATGTTTTAAAAAATTAATTAGTTAAATCAAAAATCCTATGGAAATCTGGGTGAACAATTTGACGCAATTGAAATCACTCACTCGTCAATTAATCGAATAAACCTTGGAATTGCAGGCTTAGGCAGCCCACGCTCCACTAAAAATTGAGGAAGTTCTCTCATTGTCTTTTGGATTGAATCTTTATTTTGCCTATTAAGAATCAAAGCTGCCATTCCTGCTTGGCCCTCGTAAACTTTTAACGGCAGTCCGTAGACTGTTGTTTCAATAATATGTGGATAGGCAGACAAATGTATTTCAACTTCTTGCGATGCGATGTTTTCACCTAAAATACAAAATCCATATCAAATATTAAGTTTTATTTCTTTGTTGATTAAACAAAAATAAAATTAATTACCCTTCCATCGAAATGAATTGCTAATTCGATCCACAAAATAATACCACCCGTCCTTATCGACAGCCAGTAAGTCTTCCATACGTCTCCAAAAATCACCCTTTTTAAAAACATCAAGCAGATTTCTGGGGTCTTCTCTTGGTGGTACATTCAAGTACCCGCGAGATATATTTGGGTCTACTTGATAAATCATTTCTCCCGGCTCATTGATCTTGGCCTTCATCATTTCAGGAAAATTTTAGATATTTCGAGTATTATGGTATGATTAGCTTTGTGAGTATTACTTACCAAAACGCATCGTCCTGTTTTTGGATCTCGATAAGGAGCACGTTTTTCAAAATCGAATTTTACTATCACATATGACTTATCTAGTGAGCTAAAAAAATAATAACAAAAAATTCTTTTGGCATAGAATAAAGCATTTCTCAATACATTTTATCGAACAAAAATTATTACTTTAGCAACGGTCCTTTACGTGCGACTGCTCCGAGTCCAAATAATCCATAATTCTTGTTCTCGATTATCGTGGCGCCTATATGATTCGTATTTTTGGACTTTCATAAATAAAATAAAATAAATAAAATAAAAGAATAAATAGATTTATACCTTCTGTTTGCCCATAAAATTCCATGATTATTTCAATTCCAAATCGCTCTCTGAATGCTTGCCAAATATCGCTTCGAAGACCATTTCCGTAAATAAGACGAACTTTATGATTTTTATCGTTAATTGATGGTGGCTGTAGCATCAAGTATCTACAGATTTCACCTATATACTATTTTAAAGTATTTCGAAAATTAGCAAACCAAAATAACTCATACACGTATCAACGTATAATTAAATTCAAACATAATTGTCTGATAAACCTGAAAACTGGTTGCATTAGTTCTTCGACATTCCTCCCAAAATTTTGAGGCACTAAACTTTTTTCCGACTATAAATGTTGCGCCAACTCCCCAACACGAGCAAAGTGCAAGTGCCACTAATATCAGAATGAGAAACAACTGTATTATTGAACTGGAGACATTAATCTAAAAGTCAGTTTATACTTACACGCCGAAGTATGATAAAGTGGCAAAGGGGAATATCGACGATCATCGAAAAAGAAACCTTCTCGCATTGGGGCAACAAATTTGAGATCTATTTTTTTTAAAAAAATATAACTAAAACTTTATACCAATTTTCGAAGTTAAAGCAAACAAATACATGTACTTACATATAAATGGAAGATGTGAGAATTCGACGATCTTATAATAAAACAATCATTAAAAAGAAAATCCAACACATGTAAGTTGTTGTTATTACGAACCATACCTTTGGAAATCCCGAAGTTCCACTCGTATAAATATGGCACATGATATCGAGTAACTTTATTTTCGGTCTTACAAATTTATTCAAATCGCTTTTCGGCAATTCGTTCAAGAATAAACGTTTTGTTCGCGTCGTTGTTGCATTCAAGTTAATATTAAAAACATTATCATTAATTTTGTTGTAGGTGATGTTGTTCTCATCGTTATCCTTTGACGCTTTATTACTGAATCGAAATTCGACGATCGGAATTTCAATACTGTTTATTTCGGTAATAGGTGAGACCAAATCTTCACTCGCAACAACCAATTTCGGTTTACACGAGTCGAGCGCGTATTTAAGACTTTCGTTACGGAGACCTGAGTTTATCAATGATGATATGACTCCAATTTTTGAGAATGCAAAAAAAAGGAAGACATAGAGATCCGAATTCGTCATGAATATTGCGACAACATCTGTTTTGTGTACATTGAAAACTTTAGTTTTAGAAATAAACGTCATCATTAATTCTTGTGAGCTTGCCTTTTTGCTTTAGTCCTTGAGATTGTGCCCAATCTGCCTATTGAATAACATTTAATTAGAAGAACCATACATAATAACAAACAAGAATTATTAAAGCTTACCAATTTACTAATCTCTATAAAATTGAAATTATTGAATTTAGAACTTGATTGGTTATCTGAAACTGACTATCATAAACTTGTATACTTTTACCTTGTTCACACTGTGCAAATGTCCAACTTCTATTTTGAAAAACGAGCGCTTCTTTATTCGGCCATCTTCTAGCAGCATCTTCAACGAGCAAATAACCTGAGGCATATCCTTGTTTACCCAATTCCATTATCCTATTAGAATAAAAATATTTTAGAATATCTCAATTGTTATTTAATTACGAAGGGAGGAAATAAATAATATTTACTGTGGCAAAACTTTTGCTCTAGCATTTTTCGACAAAATAGTTTTGATATCGCTCATTATTCCATATTTTGCATCTAGATAGCTAGCCACTATTGCTGCACCGCCTATCGCGGTGAATACCATCATTAATCTTTTCTTTGATACCTGTACATGTATTTTCTATCCCTATTTATTAGCGTTAGTGTGTTACTTTTTCTGCAGATAAAATAAAACGGATGGATGCATAAAACTTGATGATCATCTACAAAAATAAAGATTATATGACTGGGAGACATTTTGATTGGTCACTCCACGTCGTCTAATTAAAATTTGATGATGCAGGCCAAAATCCAAAGTTTTCCGGGTCCCTGCTAAATTACATGTACAGTACATGTCGACTATCCGTCGATCTATGTCATATACAAAATTTTTTGATTTATGCGCATAATTTCACATAATTTTATATAATCTTGTAAATCTATAATAAATTGGTTAACGCTAACAAAAATGAGATGGCACTCAATAAGATGCATAATGGAATAATCTAGTTTCACAAATCGATTCTGATTATATTTGGTTACCTATATCTAGTTGCACCGTTGAACATAGCTTTTCTTTATATAAATCACTTTTAGCTAGTGACCATCAAAATAATCACTTAAGCAATTTAATATGATGTATTTTAATCGTGATATTTGAGATTTTTGTTAGTAAAAGTATATTGACTGATCCAATTGAAGGTGATAACACTGTTTTAAATGCCTTCTTTTCACAAAATCTATATCATACTGCACGATACAAAATTTCAATAATTTCATCAAATACATGTACATGTATGTTAAATCATTCAGTCACAATATTAATTGAAAGTATAATAATATAAATATCATGCTCTACGACACGGGATGCCATTACATTTAAAGTCTATATACAAGCATAATCTTATAATATAGATGAAACAATCGATAAGGCAGGAACTATTGACTCTTCCCTACCGTATTAATCAAGTTGATTTAATTTTTGTTCCATTTATCCCATTTATCCCACATTGTCGTGTTTGCGGAATAAGTTGCAAAAGATCAAAGTTGAGGTAATTTTTTTCTTCTATTAATTAAGTTGATATTAAATACTAATATGTAATTCTTTATTAGTGATATGAGAAATCATTATTAAGAATAAATAAAATAAGCATTTATAATATTTATCAATCATTTAATGCTAGAGCAATAAAATAGTATAAAATTAATTGTTTTCTCATCAATTTTTTTAATTTTAATTAAATGTATAACGAATTTGAAACTTTACATTCATATATAAATTATTTGTTTCTAATTTTATAAAATTTCAATAGCGGTAGTAAATTTTAGATAAATCTACTGTATGTTCGTTGTAAAAAAATATTTTTATATTTTTACTATTAATTTATAAATTGTCAAACCATTTAAGTCAAATTATCTTGGAACATAAACTAAAATTTAGTTTAAATTATATAACTATCTTGATTCATTACGAGATTGATTATTTCGTAATTTGATAGAATTATTTTTTATATTCTAATTTAATAAACTATTGTGAATAGTTCAAAAAGTATATATCGTTGAGTTTTGCCTTTTACTCATCTGTTCCTATCGTAAGAATAATTTCATCTTAATAAAATGAATTTGGTTGTTAGCCTTTTAATATTCCAAATCATTGCTATTAACTCTCAAAAAGCACCTTGCTCAATCAATTCTCCCATTCATGTTTATGCCTCTGAAATCCTTTGTCAAACTAACAAGATAATTGGCGACCACATGAAAAAGCACACAAATATTTATAATAGTGATGCTACAGAAAGAAATTCAAACATACGCATACATGAAACAACAAAATTTCCAACTAGAATTAAATTTATTTCGTACAATTTGCAATTAGACCGTAAACATCACTTACGTACAATTCATAAAAAAAGAAATAGCCCGGAAATGATAAGGGAGAACAATGATCAAAATACATATTGCAAGAAGTTATGCAAACGGAATTATGATGACCCTTCTCAGAACAAATGCATTTTTGTTTGCCCTTTTTATTAAAATCTAAAAATTCATTTTTGGAAGATAACTCACAAAATAAGTAATGGAATATAATTATAAATATCCCATATGAAATTTTCATGTTTATATTGTATATTAATAGACATAAACTTATATATGCATCAAAATTTATTGTGATTTTTATTTTGAATTTACACAATGTATTAAATAATATTTTCACTATGTAATCGAAAAGGATTTACTTCTTTAATGTAATAATTAAGTTCTAATTTTTCAACTTGACGCATATATATTCGTAAAGATGAGTTCCAAAATTCTAAAATGGCTAAACTCCATTTCATAAATATCAAGCAAAGACAAAGAAGCGATCTATGTTATTAAATTTATTATTTTCAAGAATTTGCTACTCTTTCTAACATAAACTTTTCAGACAACAAGAAAGATACAAATATGATGTTAAAATTCTATGTCTTTTAAAGATTTATAATCTACATATAAACATCTACGTTGAAAAAGTATCTTCCTTTATAGTGCGAATCGTTAATTTAGGATACAATATCTCGACGCTCAATGACCCTCCCTATTCGAACGAAATACTACCATTCGAATTGTCTTAGTATTTCGCTCGAATAGGGTCACCGAGCGTCGAGATATTGTATCCTAAATTAACGATACATTGTATTTGCATGTAAAGACTTAACGAGCATCGAATTCCTGATACATGTATATAAGTTCACCGGACTTTAAAAGAACATGTACATGTATAAGGCTCTTTGTGTTCGGAAAACTTATAAAATTGACTGTGTTAAGAGTTGATTACAATGAAATAATTATATACAGTGAACCTTGATATAGCGAAACCTGGATAAACCGAATTTTCATTTATAATGAAGTTTTCTGAAGTATCAAATCTTTTTTATATAATTTTCTACCGGAATATAACGAAAACCTGGTTATACCAAAAAAAAAAAAAATGGATGGAACGGACCACTTCGTTATATCCAGGTTCACTGTGTATAAACATAATTAAAATTTTATTATAAAAATTTTTAATGCTGCTTAAAGATAGAGATATACATGCATTCAAAAAAAGAGTGCTTTGGATGATTACAGCAATACATAGTATGAGTGAAGGCCTGAAGTAATTTATGATTAAAAAACCGCCAATGGGTGAATTATATCTGGAACTTATTGTACTATAAAAATTTAATATATGTTAATATTAATACCTAAAATATTATATATTTTTTTCAAAATTTATTTTGAAAATATTGGACTTCTCTTTTCAAGAATAATAATAATTAGTGATGGACAAAAATGAGCTTTCGATCCATTATACTCTTCTAACATGACATGTATAATCAACGCATAGCATTGTGATCGACCGCTCTTGTGTGTAGTATGAAGTAATAAGCCCAGCACAATTAAAACGTTTAATCATATGCATTCATTTAGTGCCCTCAAAGCAAAATAAACGAGTTTTTCCCTTCATACGTAAGCCACACCACGTGGTATTGGACGGACCGGTCATTTACTCTTATATCAATTATTAATTGTATTTGAAAATAGTCAGAATGCCATTTCATTAGAGAATAAGATTTTTTTTCCAGGTCATCACTGGAGTAACGTTTGGCCCATTGTATACGTTTCTTTTTTTTGAACTGCTGTTGACATCAGCGTAGCATTTGGTCGATTTTTTTAAATCTATCCTATTTCAAATGTCTACCAAATGTACGATATGAAATAAATATATCTCCTCGGTACTTAGTTTAATAGCTATTTTTCATAGGAACAGAAGAAGGTTTACGAAAATATTGCACCACCTTTCTTGATACATCTGTAGTAATTTTGTTAGGACACCCATTACCATCTTTATGCTGAATTGTTCCTGTTGGCTCTAATTTTTTACAATGTATCGGACAGTTGAGATTGTTAATCACAATTTTTATGAATGAAATTTATTCCCGGATGTTTACTTTTTTTGGCAGAAACAGAATTTTATCTTCTTTTCTCTTAAAAATACAATTTATAATTATTTAATTTATATAAAAATATATTATAATAAAACTATGCATGTAAATAATCTAACTAGTAAACTTAGCATGAATACGTTATGGCTGTAACCTGAATACCAACTATTACGCCGAGTTTTTGCAGCAACATGTAAGAGGAATTAAAAAGATGCTTAAGAGAAATTGGCGTTCCAGCAAGATAACAATCCTAAATATACAAGCAGTAAAGCTAAGAAATTTCTTGCAGAAAAGGTATCCGAAGTTATTGATTGGCCGTCATCAAGTCCGGACCTAAATCCTATCGCATAATTGTTAAACGTGACATAGAAAAATAAATGCCGCAAAATTTAAACGGATTGGAACAATTTATAATGAAGAATAGAATTTATTGCCAGATAATACATTAAAAAATTTAATAAATTCAATGCCACCTCATTACCAATTAATTATTGAGAATAAAGGGCGAAAGAGTCGCATATTGAATTTGTAATAAATAAAATCTTCCGCTTTCGAGCTTTCAAGCAATATCTTAATTATGGGTTTTAATGTGATCTGCGTGAAATTTGTAATAGGACGTTCTAAATTAAGTTTTTTTGTCACTGACGGTATATCTTCGTAAAACATGAGCTGAGTGCATATCGATATTAGTAAGAGAAAATATCGCGGTTGGATTTCCGATAAAAACTACCATATTGTCACGAAATATAGCTCATCTGCGTGTTATTTTGAGTGCGTGCATGTGCATGATTTCGAGACAAAGCAATTAAACCTGATTTTCGAAATAACGTCCGGAGTTTGCTTTTGATTTTCTACGAATATACAGTATTCAATTGGATGCGGAAATTTTTATTAGATAATGTTAGCGATGTTTCAGAAACATAGCATATATATAATCTATTTTAAAATTCAAAATGATGCGCCGAATCTCTATGATAAATTTTGTAATAACGCGAGACAAAAGTATTTAATTGATTATAAAAGAATTAAAAAAGATATTCCCAACGCTCAAAATTAAAATGTTTGATGTAAAACTATAGACCTATTGTATCATATCGATATCGATATACATGTATATGGTGGAGGTGGTATATGTATTACA